GTGATGCCAAGTGGGCTTGGATGTGCCCATGTGAAGTGTGATGTTTTAGCCCTTTGGGTGTTGAGAGTTTGCACAAATAGATACTAATCTAATCTCACCAGGCTAAAATTAGCTCATTCAGGGGACATGGACAACAGATTGCCGATGGCATGATTCAGATGATAGGAGCTGTACAGCTGTTTGCCCTTTTTAAAATCTCACAGATGGCATTAGAGGCTGGAGCGGAATACAAACTGAGCTCAAGAGGCTCATCTATGGGGTCCATGGCTGTTCATAATGTCTTTTAATAGTTGCAGTTAAATAAAACAAATGTCTGTGTGTACTGCTGCAGTGATTAACATTTACTGTAATTAATGTCTATTGTCATGTGTCTTTTTAAGATAACTAATGTTTGAGAGAGACAGATTGAATGATTGCACATCGGAACAAAACACAAAATGACTCTTACTGGACCTGATCTGGCCTATGCCTGCTGTAGTCATACTTCAACCAGCCAACATTTTGCCAATAAAAAGTATCCAGGAATACCTTGCTTCCTTCTAAAAATTGAATCATAAATATACACCTGAAGTGCATTACCAAATATTTTTGTCTAATGCTGCCCTCATTACAACATTTTTTATTATAATATATGGGAAATTGTTGTTAATGAACGTATACGCAAAGTAGTTACTGTCAACCTTTTGTAGAAGTTTCTTGATCACCATAGCATAAAGTTTTATGGTTATAAGTCAACTCAAAGCACATGAGTTAGGTTAAAGAAAGATTGAAACCGTTATATTTCCCTGACCTTAAATCAGAACTTATCAGTTACTTTTGTAAACTTGGAGGCAGCAATTGACAACAAACTGCACATCAATTACATCGACATATTATATGTGGATATGGTGACTCTCTTATGGTGACTCTCTTACTGCAAACATGTTTCATATGAGTTCATGACAATGCATGACCCCTCACACATGATAGTCATTTGGGCCACTGTTGCAGCACTACAGTAGCCTAAACCTACTACCGCTACAGTTGAAAACACTTTTTCATGAACTGGTCAATTTTAAGATTTTGGGCTATTTTGCTTCCACAACATGTCTTCTTTCAAACCAGTGGAAGGTAAATGTCCAAAATACAGATTCAGTTGCTTATTTTAGTTCAGATTTCTGTTCTGGAAATGTTTGCAAAAAAGCGCATATTAAATTAGCAATACCTCATTTGCATATTTCAACATGAAATTTCAGAAAACTTCTGACACAAAAACTTCTGACGGTAATTCTTGTTAAATGTTTATCCTGTTCACCTGTCTGTTTCTGTCCTATTTTTTGTCTAGAAATGGATGGAAGTTTACAATGTACATCTTTAAAGGCGAAGGATATATGTCAAATAGTCCAGGCCACAACTATGTCTCATTCTAAATGTATGTGGAAAAGCAAATTAGTAATCATTAATGACAGGGTTCAAATCTGAGGTCTCTTCTGTGCTGGAGGCCATAATATCATCTGACATCCTACTTTACTTATACAATATAAAGTATTCTTGAATTCCCCTCAGGTCAAACATACGCTAAATCATGAATCATTCAATGCCCTGCAGTGGACTCTATGGTTCTCAGCAGTCTGTTTTGCTGAAAGCATCTTACATATGACTATGGAAGTCTGTCTCAGCCCAGCAGCACACTGCTACAGAGAGCAGGCAGGACAACAACTGTTAGGCAGTGACTATAAAATTAGCATAAAGAAGCCTGACTCTTCCTAACGTAAGACTCTGTGGTAAGAACACAAACAGCAGGAGTGGCCTTCTCATCACCGGGACAACTCCAGCTGAGACACACTAGGCCGGGTTAGGTCATTTTCTGTCCCCTCTTCAGCTCGAAATATCTTTGTTCCTTTGTGTCAACATTGTAATCCTTTACTGCTGGCAGTCCTCCATCCTACCTCCAACCTCTGTCTGGTGAGCCTTTCAAGACCGAAATAAAGCTCTGTATGTAAAAAAAAAACAAAACAATCTTTCCCGGGATTCAGGCTCAGCTCTGTACACTTGTTCCCTTGCTGCTGCTGAAAAGCTCATACAAAGGCACGGAGCAGGGATGTGGGCACAGTTTCTATCCTTGTTGTGTTTTCAAGTCAACCTTCACAGCCCGAGGGTAACGCCAAAGCTAGTTAGGAAAAAAATATGCCTCTAACACTTCCTTGCCACATTAGACTTTTTTTTTGCTGTTAAAAAAGACACAAATCAGCACGGCCAAGCCTGTTAGTGTGCTCTTTACTTTGGAGATTATAATGCAAAAGAGGAAGAATTTTTTTGTATAACAGTTAGAGAGATGATGCAAATTCTAACAAAGATTTCCACGTCTAAAAGTCACCTTTAAAACTAGAAACAAACACTGGCTTTAATGGGGAGAGCATCATGCAGTGTGTCAGAGTGAGCTAAAATAACACCCATTAGGACAACATAATGTCAAGTCAGTAGAATGTCAACACCAATCCTGTTTTGTGATGTACCTCAGCGCTCTTAAATGTCACTTTGAATGAAACTCCTAAAATGGCAGACATAATGCTGTTTTCGATAGGGTCATGAAAATAAGCTCTGGCATGGTGCATTGACTCAAAAGGATGAGTTGATGTTACTGCAGCATTTAGCATAACATTACAAACTGGATATTTGTGTTTGCAACTGTCAGAGCCACGTGCCCCATCCACAGATAAATTACTCATTTTCATTTTCCACTAACAGCACTCTGTGAATAATTACAAATGCATCATAATTGCCCAGCAGTGCCTCTGAGAAGATGGCTTGGAGGTACATCAAGTGAATGAGTATCAAGCACTCTGACTGAACTTTAATTTGTTGGCCACGCACCATTAATTGTGGGTTAGACAATGCTAGCCATGTCTTAATGTGTCGCCATAGGAGCAAAACAACTCTGTGTTGATGTGATTGCTTAGAAATGAGCAATGAACAAAGGATGTTATGTTCACGAGCAGCGATGCCAACTTATGTAGCTGCTGGCTGCCCAAAGGATCCACACAAAGTGCCAGATGACCTCACTTGCAAATTTCCATAAATATATGTGAGCTTTAATTGTATAGAGAGCACTGTGATCATCAGAACTGTTTGGATTAAACACAGAATTAAATACAACAAAAGTATGTTCACTGGCATGATTCATACTAATCTGCTATTGTATGAATTATTACTTTCAAGGGTCAATTCAACAAAACCGAAACAGAATTATTGCCTCATGTTTTTATGCCTCCACCAACCAGTCAAGTTGCAGTTTACATCCATGTCTGTCTAGACTCTTTAAATATTTGTAGTGAAGACTTTGAAGGAACTTGATAAAAGGTATTAGGCATATTTTTGGGTGAAACATGGATGCTTCACACACATCTTCAACCCAGCATAGAGGAGCTATAGTAATAGTTGCAGTTGTTGTATATAGTTATAGTAAGATCTATATCACAGTTTCAAGATGGGCACTCGAGATTAGTGTCACCAATTCAGTATCTGACCAAATGTCTCCCCTTCTGTTCCCGAGTTATGATGTTGAATAATGGCCAGAAAAGTGTTTTTGCAAAACCTTTTGGATATAAAATGTCATCAGCTTTATCATTTTATCCTATTAGACATTTGTGTGAAATGTTCTCATAATTAGCGTACGACTTCTTTAGTTATGAGTTATGGCCAAAAACATGCTCTGTAAAGTCACAGTGATCTTTGACCACCAAAATCTAATCACTTAATCCTTGAGTCCAAGTGGACATTTGTTCCAAAAATGAAGAAACAGTCTATGGCTGTCACCAGTACATAGGCATAAAGTCTAATTTTCTCACACACCAGTAGTGGTATCTAGTCATGCAAATAGTTCTAGTTATATTTATTCAGGTTTTGAGATATCCACTTCTGAGATTAATATCTACCCCTAATATAGTGGAGGAGAGGAGGAGGAGGAGAAGAGAAGCGTGTCTTTCCAGGATTGTTTTCCACATTACCCTAGATAATCCAGAGGATATCTAGAGGGGACTGTCATGTTGGTAGAAAGTCTTTTTAAACAAATCTCAATTCAAAGGGCATTTTATTGGGGTGGACATTTGGAGTAACCCGTGGAGGTTTGTCATAGTGCTATAGAGCACTGTTTTTATGAGTGTTCATGCACACATATGGGCCAAGCAACATGATGCACATTCCTCTTCTTGATTTCATGCTATTCCGATGATCAACAGTTGTTGGCAGAAACATAGAAAGAAACTTAATAATGTGCCAACAAAGGTGTAGAAGAAAAAGACTGTTAGTTATCAAGCGTGGAGATAAAAAATTAAAGGATTCACCATATTTTAAAATAGGTGTGTCAGTTTGTGGATTCCCGTTTTGCAGTCTAAAGTTTGGCATTTTGGCTGTCAAGATCTTGGTATTGAATTAACCATTCTTGAACAAGAGGGTAGAGCTGTGGAGGAGTGAGGGGTGGATCTGACTCATTAGCCGTAGCATCGGCTTGCAGACAGCCTGTCAATCAAAGCAGCCACACCCTTACTTATGAGTAAGTTTAAGCCTTAATGAAATGTAAACAGGTAAGTTATATAAAAATTCAGCCCAGCTACAGTTGTCATGAACTACAAAAATTAGGTTTGGAGACCAAAAGTTGAATATTTGTCTCGCTTTTGGAGCCAGCCTCAAGTGGCCATTCGAAGAACTGCAGTTTATGCACTTCCACTTTGGCTTCATTTTACAGCCCTAGAGGTTGCCACTTGGCATACACCTCATGCATCTTGGTTAAAAACACAGAATGTAAACATTTATTTTGTTTGTTTAAAAGAAAATTTCACAGGCCACTGTTAATAAGAGTTCATCTGTAGACCAGCTAAAGAATGACTGCACAACAGTGATGAAGGCAGCAGATTAATCAGACAGTTGACATGACACTCAAATATACTGATTATTAGTTAGACCTATGTGTCATCACCATGGCTGTCTCTGAGGACCTTAAGGTGTGCTGTGGTGTTACTTACGCTCAGCGATGACCATGGGTGGGTAGAACAGAAAGTATCCCACCAGCTCTGCGGTCAGCTGGTTGAGGAGGCCGCTGGAGATCGTCCCGTTAAGAATTGCATCCTGATTCTTCACCACATACACCAGAGAGACTGACGGAGAGCCTGGATCCTGGGACACGCTCTGGATCTGAGAAACACACCATTTTTGCAATATTGGAATAATTATGCAATTCTTTATTTATAGCTAACACATAAACCGGCAGCACATGTATAATTCAAACATTCATACAGAAATATTTAATGGTATCATACCAAATGTCTCAGATGCCCATAAAGAATGCATAACAGAGCTCCAGACACAGTACGACACTTTGAATGAACAATGTTTTTTTTCTTTCTATAATAAGACCTGTGTGGCGCTCTGAAAACAATGTGACTGAGTCACCATAGCAAAGCAGATGATGATACGAGATACGAGGAATTCCCATCACATTCCTCCATGAGTGTTAATATTTCAGAGGATGAATTATGAATGGACCCTATATCTGCCTCTGCTTGCTGAGACCCAGTTTATGATCATGGTGGCGTGTGCATGTATATCCTGCAGTCATGAGAGTACCTTAACAGTCACAGAGATGAGAAAGAGAGAAAGAAAGAGGAGAGAGGAAGAATAATTGAAAGGGTTTAATCATAAAGCAGCACTACAGAGGAATGATCTTTGATTTTGTTTGTGGAAATAAACCAATATATGCTGCTACAATCACTCCCTCCTTAAAATGTAAATTGCTCCCAAACCTTTTTGACTATTGTGACCTTTTATTGAATAATTACAGAGCTATATTCTGTGTTTTGTGTGTTAATTTGCAGGAAAGCACACACACACTGTGGAAGAGCAACAATGCAGTCATAATCTAGCGGGCATGTTGCAAGTTGCATTGTTGCAAGCGTCCAGAATTTTACCTCCAGCTTCATTACTCACATTAGCCTGATTAGCATGCTGCATGCAAATATGACATATTTGACTGTCTGCACTTTGTACTAAAAATAGCCCCCATGAGCCAATGTGGTACCTCCACAGTGAGCCTGTTGTAGGTCTCCAGCACTTTGTCCTGAGCCTCATCGAAGGCGTTTTCCAGCCTCTGCTCCAACATCTGGACAAAACTGCAGGAGTAGATGTTATCTGTAGGGCCGACGAACCTCAACACTGCAGGGGAAGATAGAAAATTATATTTAACTGATACTGAAATGGCAATTATTTCAGTTTGTAAATAATTAACAGTAATATTAAATAAACAGTACAAAACAAAAAGGGGATAATTAAAACCAAACAATACATTCAGTACATGTTTTATGCTGTTTTAAAGACTACCAAGTTTCAAAATATTAAGGTCCTTAATTTGATAAAAAGTGGTTTTGATGGTTCTTGATATGCCAGACAGCTTACAATTTTTAAATGTGTCTTTTGAAGAATATAAACTGTATTTGTTTAATACTTCCCATACTTCAAAAAAGTAAGTTATGTATGAAAGTACAAGTGAACAATGTAAAGTGTGTATAGAAACTTGATTTAAAGGGTGACTTTGGTATTTTTTAACATGGACCATATTTCCTATGTTTTGCATTAAGTAACGACTGGAGACGGGAATTTTTTGAAAATTAGGCCAGTACTGACAGAGAGCGCTGCTGCCAGAATTTACTCTGTTGGTATTTGGTAAGAGCCGGTTTGGTTATTAGCAAAAAACATTTATTAATTGAAGTGTTATTAATTATCCATCAGTATTGCTAAAGTTAAATAAACTCTGTTGTGCTTTAAAGCGCAGTTATCGTTGATCATTCTGTATGTGTTGCAATAACTGCTGGCTGTGAAGGTCAGTTTTTGGACCCAAGCCTTCAGTGTTCAACTTACTTATGTAAAACAGCTGTTAGATATTAACATTTTTAAATGAACACCCCTTTTTGACACTAGATGCACAGGTTGGCGATTGGCCTCTGATTCTGGGGTAGTGCCCTATCATTTTTTATATTAATTAATAACTTAAATGATATAAATATTTTAATAACATAATGAATGTTGTTGATTTTTGCTAATAACCAAACCCTCTCCTACTAAATTCTAACATCTCCAGCACAACACATTCTTCCAGGCATTCCTCTCTCCGACTCTCACTGATGTGTCCCTCGCTGTCTTCCTGCAACAAGCCACCTCTTGTGAGATTTCAGAGAGAGACTTCTCCTTGAGTGAGACTTGGTTACACACAATAACAAAGACTGGATCAAGTGAAAGGTACAACAAAACAAGCACTTTTAGGGGACGTAAACTGACGGTCCTTAATGTCCTGTGTGTTTATATTGCAGCCACAGCTGCAGCCCTCTCTGTCGATAGTCCTATTTCCTATAGGGAAAATAGGATACAGATTGAAAAATACTAAAGTTTTCCTTTAAGAAGGTATGGCCACAGACAATGACATTTTGCTTTGACAATTCATATGTGGTTTCAAGCCTGTGCTCACATAGTATATCACGATGTTAAAGTTTAAACAGTTCATACAAATGCGTCTGTAAAACCAACAACGATCATCTGATATCAGAGCTACTATCTGAAGAACAAGAGAAATTATTTAGGAACGCTACAACAATCTATTTTATCAAGCTGTATCTGGAATCTGTATCTGGGTCTGTGTTTTAGGTATTAATGAAAGTATTGCTCTAGATAGATGCTTCCTGTGTGAGCGATAAACCTAGGCAGTGAGACAGAGAAAGAGGATTATCTCTAAAATGAGAACAACTAAAAGTGTAGTTGTCTGTCAGCGTCACGCAGCTCCTCACCGGGGAGAACAGGGTAAACAATATTGAGTCCATCAGCAGATTACGGAGGATGTTATTAATGTTGTCTCCGTCCTTTTACTGCAGTCGCCCTCCATTCTCTCCCTGCACTCTGTCTTTCTCCGCTCTTTTTAAATAAACTCTAAAGGGACTGGGAGAGGAGAGGTGGAACAATATTCTGACCTAAATTTATACGTCGTGGTGTTTACGAGCGCCGGCTACATCTCAAAGGCTCTACATCCTTCTCTGGTCTCTTAGTCTGCAACACATTGCAGGCACAAACAGTGTTGACCCAGTTGGTAATCTTATGCAAATTGTGCTGTGGATGGTGAATTGGCATTATACTGTGTATTTATGGTTTATGAGCTGAACAAGCCAAAAATTGATTTTTGTTCTTGCCTAAAGTGCCTATTTCATACACAGCTGCTTACTAATACAGGACAGTAATACACACTGCAAGCAATCAAATATGTAATTTGGCCATGTACCATCGTTCAGTTGGTATTACTGCAAATGTTGAGGACACAAGCACAGATATTTGTTGTTTCCCATCAGTGATTAAAGCCACCAGGTTTAGGATATGAAAATGTCCTTGTTGGTTATTTCATAATATTAAATAATAATAATAATAATAATAATAATAAAATATAATATTATTACATAATATGATTTATATTATATTTTAGTGCCCACATGGATCTAAAATAATATATTATATAATGTAAAACTGCATTATAGAAACAGAAATGGACTGCACCAATTGATCATCTTCCTCAATGAAATTGTTTTTGTTATGAGAATAATTCAAAGCAATATAGACCCTTATACAGTTAATGATAACGTAGGTGACGAAGGGTGCACATGCAATACGGCAACAGAAGTATGGCGGAGTGCAATAGCCTGTTAAGCTATGCAAGGGCATTAACCATTGATGATTGTCAATGATTCTTAAACAAATTGACTTTGACAGATAGTGACTGACTGACACCCATTTTGAAGGCTCAGGTTCGGCATTTCCCCCGTCGCATTTTTATTTTTTTTCTTAAGCCAGAAGTGACCATATTTGAGATCTGACTGAGACCCCAAGTCACACTGTCTGCAGACAGTGGCTGTCAAAGTGGCCCACCCTTGATTATAATAAAATATTAACAGGTGAGTTATATAAAAATCCCCCCTCCCCCGCACAGTTGTTATGAACAGAGAAATTAGTCATACAAACCAAAAGCGTTTTTTGTACCATTTCTGCTGTAAAATTGTGTATGTTAACATGGGGGTCTCTGGGGATTGACTGGCTTTTGGAGCAAGCCTCAAGTGGCCATTTAAGGAACTACAGTTTTTAGCACTTCCACGTTGGCTTTACTTTTTCAGCCTTGGAGGTTGCTGCTTGGGTCCAACATTCATTGGCCAGATATACAAACATGTTTGGTGGAGAAACATAGTGTTTACACCAGTGTAAAATTATGAGCATACAAGTCAATAGATGCTTATAACAACATTATCTGTGGTCGCTGGCATAGAAAATAAACACAGGTGTGTATGTACTTAAAATTCATTAAAGTAAAATTAAAGGTTTTTATCAGGACATCCACATGTTCTGTTTATGTTTTCAACAGCTGCCATCTATACAAGCACAAAAGGGTGCTTTCCTAGGTCATAGCTAGTCTCATGTCACAATATCAATATAATATCAATATATAACCCAGCCCGAGGAGTAGTTATGTACAAGAAAAAATAAATTTTTAAAAAAAAAGAAAGATAGAAAGAAATCAGTAATCAGTAACACCACCGCAATATCTCCAACATTCCGTCTGCTGAGCTGAAGTGAACTCGAACACTGGACAAACATGAATTAAAAAAAAAATATATATATATGATTCTCAGTTTAGAAAAGTAATGGGTTTCCAATCTGCACATGTATCTTTTAAATAGCAATTTGTTAATTGCACTGATTTTCCTACCCTTGTTCCCACAAGACTCCATTTAGATGAGTGTGTGTGTGTGTGTGTGTGTGTGTGTGTGTGTGTGTGTCCGCACTAAAATGTGTTTTTTTAAGAGGCTTAAGAGGCTGACTAAGTGAATGGACCAATTTGCCTTTGCTCTGCAATCATGGGAGTTTGTATGGGATTTTGGGTATCAGAGAAGAGTAAAGGAGAGCAGACATGTAATCAGAATTTTCTAATTTTGTCTCTGCTCTACTCTTCCCCTGTGTCTCCCTCCCTGTACTCTCGTTGCATTCTCTATCGCTCTGCTCTCCTTCTGCTCTCATTCCCTCCCTCCTCCTCTCTGCATTTCTCTAACCTCTGTTATTCTTTATCCTTTTACTCCCCACCTCCAGAATTAACATCACCAGACCGTGTTTGTAAGATCTTTGTTATGTAAAGGCTGATCTATCGTATCCTATCCTCCATCAGGTTTCATCACCTGTTTTCAGCTGCAGGTGAATGCTTGGAGCGGGCAGCCAGGTTGCCACAGGAACCAGGACTGCCTTAACCAGTGGAGTGTGCTGCCTGATGTCCGACAGCAGCTTGTCAAAACCGTAAATGTGCAGCGCCTCAACCACCAAGGAGGAAATGTAGACGGTTTTGCCGCTGGTCACGTAGTAACCCAGTGTCACGTTGTGGGGGCTGCAGTCATCGTGTTCCACCTGTGAAAGAGAGGAAGAGGGACGAAAAAGAAAACTCAAGTTGTATGTGTTTTTTAAACTGCACTTAGATCTGTTTATCAAGAGAGGCTGCGTACATGTATCTTAAAAACATGGTGATGCTAGTATGTCTAGAGGATTTTTGTTCTTACTTCAAAGCACCTTTACTCTAAAGAAGAACCAGACAGTCGGTATCAGAGGAGAAATCAGTGCTACCAGGTGAAACAAGACTATACGGGAGACGAGGTGTAAAGCATCGTTTTCTAATACATGTTGTACTAGCTACGGGTTTAGAATACAAATGCATCAGACTAGGGATATTTATAATCCCTGGGTATTTTTTTATATATATATATTTTTTTATTAAAAGCCAAATCTGCCTCGAGGGCATATTTTAGCCTGAGCCTTCAACAGTCATAAATCTGACTAACTGTGTCCTGGAAAAACACATACAGACAACAATCGGTGGTGAGTCAAGACTCGTATTTCTGGAACTATACACCACCCACCTTCCTCTACCCTCCACCTTCATCCACAGTGAGCAGCTGTGGCTGTTGTTACTATGGCTCTTTCCTTTTCCTTCATCCTTCTTTCCCTCTCCTCTCCTGTTCTCTATGAGCATTAGCACATCCCTGTGTTTATTAATGTCTTTATTAACAACTATAATTCATCCTATGTAGCGTCCATAACTGGTGTATAAACTGTCAATGACTCTTGTAACACAGTATGTGAGCATAGTATACTTATATCGTTTTAAACACATGTATAAATATATATATATAATATGAATATTGTATAACTGGTTACTCATAAATCTATTAGAAAAATTGCTTTACTTTAGGTTTTAAGTATTAACTGTACTAACTTGACAAACTGACTTGCATGAGGTAATGTTTTCATAATAATGCAGTAAGGTCTATAGAAGAAGCACATCCATCATTAGCAATGAAAAAAATGTGCTGTAAAAGTAAAATGTCCAGTCACACAATCCTGACAAGTTACCTATAGTTTACTTTTTATAAGCATGTATCAGTGCTAAACAGCATAATTAGCGAGGGTGAAAATCAAAAGTTTCATCACAATACAATATCATATTGATTTGAGCTTAAGTTTGTCCCTTCAGAGACACTGTTATGCCCTCCAGCGCTGTGTGTGGGAACTAGTGTGTTGTCCTGGTCTGATGTTTAAACTGAATGCATGCCTGCCGGCAAGTTCTACCTGGTCTCCTGTGTCCTCATTAATAGTAGTAACCCTAAATAAGCTGTGTTTACAACAGATTTGACTCTATTCAGCCCTGAGGTCTTGGCTGCTTACCATTATCTGCCCAGCACTAGGCCGCTAGCAGTGTTTAGGAAGAAGGTTTGATTGGAATATAAACAGTGACACAAAGGCCACAGGATCTCACATCTTACTACGTGATATGTATTGATGTTTTCACTTTGCACCGATGATGTTAACCAATAAAGCAATATTTCGATTCAGATCAACGTATCGTTACTTATCGACTTTGTTACTACTATACAACAGTACAAGTAGCTAGAGATCTGATTGGGCCTAAAAAATCTGGCCCAACCCTAAATCAACCTGCACAGTTTCGGTCTGAGCCGACCTGAGCCCGACCCACAGCAGCAGTTTTGGGCCCAAGCCCAATTAAAAACCCAAATTTCTACAGTACAAAAGGTATTTTATATAACATATCTTTTTAAATATTAAAACATTTATTACAAGATAAGAGCTGACATGTTTCCACTTCTCTTTCTTCTCTTCCTTATTTCAATAGTCTGTCGTCTCATGCATGACAGGTTTGGCAGAGAGAGACATGTATAGCTGCGTAGATGACATGCCCCTACATACCTTGCCCCTCTAGGACAAAGCAAACCCACCAACGCGACAATTTGATGAACTCTGCTGTAATGCAACTTGTAGTGACTAAATGAGTCCAAACACAGCAATAATCCAAGCACATTTACTTCACTCATTTTTGATGAAGATGTGATATACCTTTTAAGTTACAAGATGTAGGCCCCTACCCTAATCCTAGCCTTAACCACCTCTCTTTTAAATGAACAATTCACAGCTACCTAAAGGCTAACTTAGCTTAGCTTGATGTTTTCTTCAGGGTTTTCGCTTGCGGACAAAGGAGCACAGAGGGCTGATTGTGGACCGAAAGCGGGCAAGTCATGTGGCTGGTGGGCGGGTCACATAGCTGCTCCAGCCACAGAGTGAGCCACACCGCTTGGTGCATCCTGTGAGCAGAGGCAGTGCATGGCCATACATTGCAGGTGATGATCACCGCTCTTTGCAGCATGGTAAGCACGTCTCTTCCATGGCTGGGAAGGCAGAATCAAAAATTGCAACCAAGTTGCCTCGCAGCCCTTCTCTCTTTCTCTCATTTTCCGTCCCTGACTGTCTCTCATCCTCGGTTCTAGTTCCCTCTCTCAGTCATAGTCCCCACGTCTCTATCTCTCTTTCCCTCTTAATTGAGTCCATTAAAATCCCTGACATTTCTGCATGAGAACTGCTGGTTTCATTTAAAAAAAAACACAAATTGACAAGAACATCACCAGATTCATGCCCAGGGGAATAATGACAAATTACATCCCAGCCCAGCACAAACCTGGCGGATCAGGTCAAGCCCAATCAGGCTCCTGCAGAAAATCAGAGCTCTACTCGTAGTGCATGAATCTGGTTTAGTGAGTTATCTGGATGACTGCTGAGTCATCCCAAGAACAGGCCTTTGTACATGATCCATGTTTGCAGAGGTTTTAGACTTCAATCTGCAAAGTTATTAGGATATAATTTAGTAGTACAAAACACTTTATTCGCCCACAGATAGTTTATAGAGTAGCTGTAAAATTTCAACAGCTTATTAGTTGAGTTCAGCTGCTAGTATATGTGGTTTTATGTGACAATTAATAAACACATCTGTATTACACATTTGCCAAGTGATTGAACATGTGTACAAGTTCTATGTACGTTTGGGTTTGGATTTAAAATAGTCTGTAATAAACTGATATGGGTTTGATGCGTTCTTTTAAGTATAAATATGTCAGTAAGAAGTTTTAAGAGTGTTATGAACCATGTATTGTTTATATACCACTTATAATTGCTACACATGGGGTCAAAATGAAGTGTGACCCATTCTGAATTCACCCTGCACTCTGAAGAAGCTACAGGCTTTATATTTGACCTTGTTTGTTTTGCATACTTGAGCAGCAGTGTTGTATCTAATAAAGCTAACCAGACCTGCCCCTGCCCTCTGCTGTCACTTCTTTCTCCCCAGTAACAACTTAAAGCTGTAAAACCGGCCAATTTTGCAAGCAATTATGGTTGACCACATTGTTCAATGATGCAACACGTTAAATACTGCTGCATGCTAATTTCATGCTGTCTGACAGTCCCTGTCCCCGCTGAAGCCAATATTTGCTCATCAACAATGCCTCAAAACACTGCCTACATATGACGGCTTTGGCCAATTTTACACATGCTGCTGTCTCTCAACAGACTGATCCAGATTTCCAAATAATAGTCTGCGTTATCTGATGGAGAGGATGAGAGCTGAGGTGTGTGTATGTGTGTGTGTGTGTGTGTGTGTGTGTTAGAGGGGTAGATGAAAGTGGACTGGAGCTTAGAGACACTGAGTCACTCCCAGTGCGGGCTCACAAACAACTGGATAAAAATAGAAAAAAGCAAGCAGATGAAGACAGACAGACAGACAGCAGGATGAAGAGAGGCAGGTGGACAGACAGTGAGGCAGGCAGGCGAGACAGGCAGACCAACAGACAGGCGAGACAGACATGTTGGCAGAAAATCAATCGACTTAAACCGAGGGAGCGATCAGATAGAGGAGATGGAGGAGGGGAGCAATACGAGAAAAGTAAATATTGAGAAATGCACAGGAAGAGGGCGAGAGAGTGATCGCTTGAGAAGAGACGGAAAAGATGAAGAAGAAATAGAAATAGACTCGGTTGAAAAGGAACGAAAGAGAGGTTGGACAAATCAAAAGAGAGACAAAAAACGATCCACTGATAGCAACAGAATAGACAGATCAGTTGACTGCACTGCTGTGATGCAGGAAAAAAGATCATTTGTCATTTGTTCTGGATTCATTTTCCATCACCATGTTTGTGTGAGAGAGAGGGTGTGTGTGTGTGTGTGTGTGTGTGTGTGTGTGTCTAACCTCTCTGAGCGAACACTGCCTGACTATTCAACAGGTCTTTCTATTCAAACGCTGTCTGCATTAGTCACCTCTCTCTGTTCCTTTCTAGCACCATTCAGATGAGTCCTTGTGAGGTGAATGAGCAGAAGGAGAAAATGATGAACACTGTAGAATATTATAAAGTGATGACTCACTCAAGAATAGGATATCTGCACACATCAAGAGCCAATACTGTGGCAAAAATTAAGATTTAAAGATTAGATTATCTCATTAGATAGAAAAGCACTTTTCCTCAGTATGATGAAGCAGACACTCGGTGGTCATCTAATTTACATCAAGAGCGTGCAGACCTGTTGGAGCTGGCGGTGAGTACATATTGACTGCAAAGGGAAAATTGGTATATTATAAGCAAAGAAAAGCTAAAGCTCTGAAATCCATTTAACCTCTGCAAATGTTCTGTACTGCGGCATTTTACTCTGAGATAACTTTACTTACTTACATACATTCGACATTATGCTTCCATGACAACGCCGTGGATACGTTATCAGCAGCACCCTCCATATGAGTGCAGCGCAGATTAGAGTCCTGCACTGCGCAGGTGCCTGATCCTAAAAAAGGTGATTCCTAGGTGGTATTTTGTCATTTTATTTCTGGGTTCTGATCTGGGTAAAACATGCGGGTGTTGGATAATGAAAATATTGAAATAAAATGATAATAATAATAATTTACGTTCATGTTATACCAATTTAATCCTCCGAATACTGACTTTGTGTGACGGCTCTATCTGTGGCGCTAGCTGGAACATGAGAGTCACTTCAATCAGGTGTATTCCTCTCAGGCACTTTAACTGTGGAGATGTGCTGCTCAGTATTATGAGAATAAGCACAAAATATTCATTTAAATCCTATTTCCTGAATTATGTTCATTGTAAAATAGGACATCTTAGTTTCACATGAATGAAATGGCCCAAAATGATCACTTTAACTTTAACACTTCAACTGATTATTTGAACAGTATATGGTTATAATAGGATTTGCAGTTTGGGGTCGGGCTGCAGATTTTGTGTCGATGGGTCAGGTTGGTTGTGGAACTTATTGGTCATATGTGTAGGTGGTGGGGCAGGTGCACTATTGCACGTTGCGGTATCAGGACAGGAGGAGGATCCAACCTGTCCAGGACTCTGGTGCAAAACAGTGGTGATTTGCTGGCCAGTGGGAAACACACGCAGGGACTCACATGTACCAATATACATGCCGGCTACCACAACAAAGAACAGAGAAGCTCGGATTACAACACACACACACCAAGGAAGGGTGACTTCATTTTCTACTAAGGACACCACTACTTTACTATATCTTTACACAGCAAAAAGTGGTGTGCTGCTACGTTAATCTCTGAGCATCACATACAGCTCCGTAAACTCCAAACCTGTTCACTGTGGTTACTGGTTACTGACCTGTGGTTGCAAGCCGGTGAGTTACTACCCACTACCCTGTGGTTATTATAGCTGAACTTTTAAGAAACACTGACCTGTGCGTTAGCTGTGGAGTCGTTCAGGGCTCTCTGCAGGGCGTGGCTCAGTCCTTTGGAGAGGTTCTGCTTCAGGATCAGGTCCAGGCGGTTCCTACGCAGCTCAATGGACAGAACTGTGAAGGAAACAAAAATCAGGACTCAGTGACTGTGCACAATGTGTTTTTATTTGGCTAGCTAATATTCTGTGACAAATCAGACTCTGGCCACACTTGTTTCCTCAAATAATAATATAATGCTAATACTATAATGCCCCTCCCCCACCACCACCACTGAGACATTGGCCTCTAGTTAATTGTCTCCTTGGTCACTCTGCAAAGCTGCTGCCGAGCCTGCACACTGTAGCATCACACCATCACCAGTAAATGTAATCAAAGGCTACAGTCTCCAGTTTGTTATTAATGTAAGTGTTTATGCTCGAGGAAAATCTGCCCTTGCTTTTGTGCGAGTTTTAATTAATTTGCGTGCATGTAATTACATCTTGGACACATAATGGGTGCTTTGTGCCTGAGCCCCTAAAAAGGCATTTCACCTGCATTCATCATTACTTTGTAATCATTTTTCCAGAAGAACAGCAAAAGCCTGCCTACATGATGTTGAGAACAGTGCATTGTAGGTAATTTGACAGGGGACATGCAGTGCCTGAAGTAACAGTAGATGGGATTCTTTTTTTTGGTTATACCCTGATTTTTTTAGCCATTCATCCTTGCTCATCTTACTCTTTAATCTTTAAATCCCACACGTCTAAAATTATTCCAATCTGAATACTTTTTTTTAGAAATACAAACTTGTTTTAAATCATTTTTAACTCCAAGTAAGTCGCACTGATGAAGTTTTAGTCTCATACCTGTTCTGACCCAGTACTTCTCAGTCACGTTGCATGGTAGAGAACTTTCCTCTGCACTGGTGCTGGACGGCGATTCAGTGGTCGTGGTTGGAGGCAGCGTGGTTTGGATCGGGATGAAGACAATGGTGGCAGGTATCTTTGTCGATGTGGTAATAGTGGTAGTGGTGGTTGTGGCAGCAGTAGTAGTAGTAGTAGTAGTTGCAGGTGTAGTAGTTGTAGTAGTGGGTGGAGGAGTGGTGGTGGTGGTGGTGGTGGTGGTTGGGGGGACTGTAGTAGTAGTGGTGGTAGTAGTGGCGGGTGTGGTTGTCGTGGTGGTTGTAGGCTGAGTTGTAGCTGCTGTGGTCAGTATGAGGCTCGTGGTTTGCTGCGTGGTTGAAGCAGCAGTGTTATTTGGTGATGCTGTTACAGCGCTCCCAGTGGTCATCGCCTGTGTCATCATCTCAGCGGCAGTCACAGTAAGATTGGTCGTTGAGGGCGTCGTCGTGGTTACCGTCGTCAGCTGAAGGCTGTCGTTGGTCACAGTGTCCTGGCTTGTGGTTTGAGAAACTGCAGTGGGTCCCGATGGTGCCTGTGCTCTTGCTGTGGTGGATGGCGGTAAAGTTGAAGTGGTGCTGGGTGACAGAGACGTGCTTATGGTGGTGGTTAATGTGGTCGTCTGCCGTGAGGTGTTTCTGGTGCGCACGGGCATTGTGGTGTTCCACTGATGGGTGGAGAAAGGGCTGGTGATGTTGGCAGGAAGCGTGACATCATGGTCGCCTACTGTGGACAGGAGAGACTCGGGGACAGTGGGGAGATCCCAGGCTGGCAGGCTGCTCACTGACTCGTCTACAGAGAGGAAAACATTTGAAAATCAATTAAATGATGCCTGGTGGTATTCTAAGGTTTATTTATTTGTCAACTAAACCCTTCAAAAGACCCATACCATCAATGACTTGATCCTACTAGCAATTGCTGATGTTTTTTGTTCCTCCGTGTCACAAAGCTGCACTGTTGTCCAGAATTATCAGAAACACACCAATGGGAAACATCATTACACTAGGTGACATGTTATGAATAGGAATACACCAAGCATCGGTACTGGCCGATACAACCTTGTTGACTGCCATCGGTCTTTCTGCAAACAAGATGACATTCACTGATGGCAGCAGCCAATGTTGTCCCATTGTGTTAAGGCTAAAAATTCTTCAGACTAACTGCTTCCTGTCATCCCTGGGGTAATAGAAAACATGTTTAGAATGAACAGAGATCTTCCCCAGAATGCATTAAACGCACTATCAATGCATCAGAGGACACACCCTATAGTTTCCCTGATAATGCTACATTGTGAATAACTAATCCATGTTAACATCTGCAGGAGAAGAACTGCTTATCGTCAGCTGTTAGCAGCTGGTGGCCAGAACTAACAGCTCACAGGAGGTTGCATTGCGTTACATCATGATGCGTTCAAGCTCCATTCAGTAAAAATCAACACTGGGCGAAAGTAAATTGTAACGTCAACATGATGTGTTCAAATGTTATCTTGTAAAATGTAGTTTTTGGTGAAAAACTTGATTAAATGCAGCTGTTTGAAGGAGAAATTCACTGATGTTTCCACAGCAGTGTAACACTAACACTAAATTATAGGCCTATATGATAAAAAAAGGCTTTTGAAACTGTTTTATTGTTGAAAGATCTGTTTTTCATGTGAAGAAAGGTTAAATTTAAGTTTTTTTCATAAATTCTTGTGGTTGAATTTGTGTTCATTCAAAGATAGTGTAGCACAAGGCTGCATGACTTTAAAACAGTTCAATTATTTTCTATGATGAAGATGTCTTTGGGCCCTGTTTAGATGGTCTAAAGCAGACGGCGTGCGGCGCATCGGCGTGTCCCAGTCACTTGCTAGTTGGACAGCGCGTTTTCAGACTGTGCGCCATGGCAGAGAGTCTAAAAGGGATGGACTTACTCTGTGAATTAGTCATGGGTGTGTTTTGGGCGTATCATTCCATAAGCCAATCAGAGTGTCACCTCTCATTCCCTATAAGAGAGGAGCAAATGGAGCACAAGGAGGAGAGCTAGTTAGATGGCGGACCTACCAACTGGAAAGAGTGAGCGTTTTACAGCTGAGGAGACGATGAATCTATCTCTATATAGACTGTCCCGTCACATCTGATGTCAGATCAAAGGGGATTGGCACCGTTTGGCACGATTGGCACGCGTAATGGAAACCCAACCTGATTTGATTAACACAGCTGCAATCTAATAAGTTCACATCCCTCTCAGCCAACCACAAACAGCCACAGCATCAGATAGGGAGTATATATTCAGCATCTGTCATCTTAGAAAAGCCAAAAGAAAAGAAACAGAGTGAGACTGCGAGAGAGAAAGAGCGCGCACACGGGAGAAACACTGTCAAATTGTAAGTTATTCAATTTTATTTTAACCCGGGAGGTTAGAGAGCCCATCTCCCTCTCCAGCATCCTGAACCCCCCCATGTGAAGGTGCAGGAAGGGCTGGTCCCGTGGCTGCACCCAGGCCCGTCTGGTCTGGTGCGCGGGCTGCGGAGCTTCCCCCGGGGGCCCCCGGCTGTGCGGCGGGCTGTGCGGCCGCTGTTCATCCTCCTCCTCCTCCTCCTCCTCCTCCTCTTCCTGACAAGATGATCTTCAGTTTTACGTTCTAAAAGCTTTTTTTTACATATACATTTGTACTTGTAGGGTCATAAGTTTACATTTTTAGTTCACAGAAGCTGGTTATTGTTGTGTTTATGTCAAAATAAAGTTTATCAAACGTTTTCACATCTTTGATTTTGTGATTTACATGCCAAAATGATCACAATTCATTTGGGAAAGACAAGTTCATTTTACAGGCTATGCATCATCAGCCCGTGGAGGTCTGCTCGCAGTTCCGTATATGCGGACCATTTATACAGTCTATGATTCGGACACTGCGAGCTTGGACCTCCCGGATTATGATGATCATTATTACTGCGATTAGATCATTCTGATTAATGACTGACCATTAAGACGTGTTTCTGATAAATATTTTAATGTGCGCAATAATAACCTTTCACATTGTAATCATATTTTTATTTGTTATCTTTTGTATATGTGTGGCTGCTCCGTGTGTGTCTGAGCAGAGTGCACGCGCGTTGTGCACCCGCCTAGAGACACATATTACTAACTTGTTCAACAGCGAAATATTGCGCCGTTGACTTCAGACCAGATTTTTGTTGGTCTAACTAACTAGCAACGCGCCATGATTGCGCCTGACCACTCCTTATTTTTAGACGAACACGCCCAGAGAAGCGCAAGTTCATTTGCTAGTTAGACGAAGAGGGCGCAGGGCGTGAAAATGACAACTGCGCCAGCATCTAAATAGCAATGACACTTGCGACATGGATTATGCGCCCTCCGTCGTCCGCTTTAGACCATCTAAATAGGGCCCTTTGTCTTTTTCTGGCACAAAAGAGGAAATAAATAACAAAACAAACAAAAACAAAACATCAACATCTGTATCGGCCCATATTTTCACAATCACTGCATCCCTAACCATAAACACTTTGACATGGATCCTTAAAATGTGGATTATTCCCCTAGTACATCTCCACCTTGAAGCAACGCATCTTAAATTCACTTGAAGCAACAAAGGGATCCAAACATAAAGAAAGCCATGCAAATCAAACAGCTGGCAGGTCAATAACAAACTTGTCAAAACTGAATTGGCTGTTTTCCCACGACTGAGTAACAAAGAAGATGAAGAGCTTATTGTCAATTTTAAATGCACAAGATAAAGTGCACATCAATTTAAATTTTGAATAGGAAATAGAAATCCAATTTTGATGTGTAAACCAGAGGAGCAATCTGATGTCAGGGTTCATGTAATCCATCTAAATCATCTCTTGTTTACACAGTGAAATCAGATGAATGTCGATGAGAGGTGTAAAGGAGGCAGGAGTGAACAAGAGGGAGGCAATCAATCCTTTCAGACTGAGAAGGATCCACATTCCCTCTTCTCCTCCCCTCACATAAACACATGAGGACTTGTTGTCCTGTTGTGATGGTGATATGAATTCATGAGAGAGAAAATGCTGGACAATGCAATATTGGATTTTGTTTATTCTTGTGTTAAAATGGTATGTGGAAGAATTACCTTGATGATGATTTAACAGGAAGAGGGGAGACATGGAGGTAGTGGAGTGGGACAGGACATGGGGGGTGAGGATAATGAAGAGGACAGAGATGATGATGATGATGATGATGATGATGATGATGATGGAATGATGAAGATGATGGTTGTTTAGATGGCTATGATGATCAATGCTGAAAGGTGAAACGGTGGGTGACACTAACTTCCAGGATGGCCTACAAAAAAATATCATCTCAGAGTGAGAAAGAAACAAACATAGGACTTTCACCCAGGAGACTGCGGTTTGTGCACTGTGAAACCAAAAGTCAAGTTATTTTAACTTTGCCTACATATGTACTTAATGTAACTACATAAAGTTTCATGATGTAGTTACCTCAAGTTTCAACGTGCTTACATTTCGTACATATTTATTTTAACCAAAACAACAATCTTTTCCTAAATCTCACCAAACTGTGACTATTTCACAACGTTAACCACATTTGAAACTGCATCCATTCGTGATTGCCTTTCCACTGGTGTTATTTCTGTGGTTAATTTAAAACATTACGTGCTACCACCACCATGTGGTTTAAAGAAGTTGTGGTGATTTAATGTATTTCTGTGAGACCAGGGTGTAAAAGGGTCTTCAATATGCACTTGATGGCTACAATCATTATATGATGCTGAAAGACTGAGGCTTAAGCTACATGTCCCAGGTAAAAAGTTAATCCTCACCAATTGATGATTCATGTAGAGGACACAGAATTGACCAACTTCATTGTTCTTGTATTTTTCTTGGCTTTAGAAATAGTGCTGGGTTACTACTAATGGCAAGCTAAGTAGCTGGGAATCCTAAGATGCTGTTTAATTCCTTTCTTACACTTTTACACTTGTCTTTTTGAGTTTTAAAGAAGGCTAAGGAAAAGACAGGACCCTCCAGACTCTTTAAATGCAGAGTCTAGCTCTAACTACAGCTCCATGCATATCGTTTCAGCATGTGGAGAAATTAGAGCTTGACAGACCTGCTGTGCGTAGTTATGGTTCCTAAGCTATGATTGCTGTTCTTGGAGGGGGTTTAGTGAACAATTAATTAAAATAAAAAACCAAAGTTAAATTATGTGTAAATGACAGCACAGCCATGCACCATACCCAAACTGGAGCTGCTATTGCTGTTGGAGGAGTTGCTGTTGACAACAACCAGTGAGACGTTGTCTGGTCTTGCTGTCTGACTGTCTCTTTTACTGGCTGGAGAGGAGGAGGAAGAGGAGGTGGAAGGCAAAGAGGACGCTTTTGTTGTAGATGAGGAGGAGGAAGAGGAGGAGGCCTTGGATGACGATGAAGAGGTGCTTTTGGTCCAAGCAGCTTTAGACAGCAGTCCTAAAGGTTTTCCCAGCACTGGTGCCTGCAGCTCGGCTGTCTCTGCCAGTATGGTGGGGTCTGAGGAGAAGGCTGCCTGCTCTCTTTGGCCCTGTCCACGAATCTGCAGCCTCTGCTGCCCCAGCCAGGCAGCCGGGTCCCTGGGCATGCTTGGCAGATCAACCCTGTCCGCATCTACCGGACTCCATTCAGCCCCAACTTCAGCCCAGGCACCGGTTCCCGTCATTATCCCAGTCTCTGCAAAGACTTTGCCACCTGCACCGGCACGCACTCCTGCTTCTGTTTCAGTCCAAACCGCTGCTCTGGCCTCAGCAAACACTTTACCCTTGGGCCAAGCTCTGGGACCTGCGTCAGCCCCATCCATTGCATCTTTGTCTTTAGCCCCATCTCTGTCTCCAGTCCGGGGGATGGCTGAGGGCACTGCGGGGTCCAGAGGCAAAACAGCCCGCCTCATTGACTCATAGCGACCTCCTTCAGCTGTAGGAAACATGATGGGATGGGGAGATGGAGGAAGGAGTGGATGAAGAAAAAGCAGAAATAGTGTTTAATTGAGAGGTCTGGGCAGCAGAAACATGGTAATCAGTCTTTGACTCATCTGCCCCACAGGCCAGACAATGACTTCAGTTTCAGGTCTTTAGTAGCTCATCTATCACATGCCCCTACATACACATAAACACACATACATGCACAAACGCACACACACACAGCTGGAGTCCTCAAATCATTAGTCCTCATAATGCCACCACAATTGTCCAACTGCCAGGAGATTTAAAACTGCTCTGCTCTCACTCACACACACTTATCATGAGAGCATACACACTTCTCTGCTCTCTGGCATATGCACATATGCATATTCTTCCTCCTTCTCACACACATTTATCCAAAGGGATTAAAAAAAAAAAAAACAACTCTAAAACTGCGATTGTGGAAAAATAGTAATAATGTTTAAAGTAGGTCACTTATGTTTTAGAGGATAAAGCATAGGGAATTAATTTAGATGTTCCAGAGTGCATAAATTAGGACACACGCACACACACACACACACACACACACCCTAATCAGCTGTGATTTCACAGATACTAATCTGATCTGTTAGGTTAGCCATGCTAGCCCATGGATTTATTATTCCTAGAACATACACAACCACTCAGACTCAGGCTGAGCTCATAGCTCAGACCAATACTGATGAGACTGAAATACATTTTATGATATGAAGTTTGGTGTGTGAGTTATGCAAGTAATGACAGTTTTATGGAGTCATTTTTCCATTTTTCAATTTGACATCAAATGAGTCAGATACATGGAAATGGAGCAGCAAAGATAGCATCCATTCAAAGCATTTAGCTCCAGCCTTTATCTCCATTCTGTGAACTGTCTTCATCTCCTGTGTAGCCTCGACAAAGCCTGAAGGTTTGGCAGTCTGAGGCGATTATCCTGCCTAATACATTCAGTCTCAAAGGCACCTTGCCTTAGTGGAATTGAAAGATGAGAAAAAACAAGGCTGACCGTCTGACTGGCTGCCTCACCGGGTGACACGGTTTATTGCATCTGCCCATTTGTTCTGAAGTAGAAAGGTTTGGATTGGGCGTCACTCGAGGCTGATGTTGAGGGTTTTTTAATCTGTTTTCAATGTAAAATATCGTAGAGGTTTTTTTTGTTTGTTTCTTTCTTTCTTTAAGCGCACATTCACTTAATAAGTGTGTACCCCAATCGGTAGAATACATTTTGGCATTGTACGTTTCTGCACACTTAATAGATATATTACATTTATATGTTTAATATGTAGCAAATATGTTGAAGCGGTGTGTTTCTTTATTTTTTTCAATTTTATGTTGTGAAGACACTGTGGTCAAGGTGTGGTTAGGTTTAAGGATAAAAATCACTTGGTTATGGTATGGAAAAAAATCACGTTTTGGTTTTAAATACCTTGTTTTCACCACTGGAAATGTGCTGACATTGCCCTAAAAAATACCTGGTAGTTGTTGCCACAGACTCAGCTGGAAATGTCACAACCTGTCATTAAAAACCCAGCTGGTCTCAAACAGTAGTCTGCTGCTTGACAGCAGCCTCACTGAGGTGTCACACTATCCACCATCCCCTCCACCTTCTGGTGAGAAACTCATCTCACATGCATGTAATCTTAACTATGTCACTGCTGTATCTATGGTTTGCAGAAACCTACAATGCCAACATTTTCTTCTGGCGATGTGAATGAAATGTGCATGTGTGTAGCACACTTCCCATGCTCCCTGTATCCCTGTGGAGGATTGGTTAATTAAAAGACAGTGATTCTGAGCTAGAGAGGCTTTACAGAACCAGCTCTGGGCTTAGCTGCTGTATATCCTCAGGACACCTGCTATAAAGCATTTCACCACCCCGCTATTAACTACCACCACTGAGCAATCTGTTCCTTGTCATAGGGGGTCTTATCATAAATACCATTAAAAGAGGAAATGAATCCATTGACAATATATATTTCTGCTTCTTCGGGGTCTATGTTGTGTGTGAGTGCAGCCATCCAGAGCTCCATTAGTCAGTTTCAAAGAGGAGAAAACGACAAGGCTAGAAATGGCAGGGGCGATTATTCGGGCACCGCAGGGAGAACGCAGTAACATGCTTGTTAAACTTAACAGAAATGTCATATTTCTTTTTGCAGCAATTAATCTCATCCAGAACCACCACAGCTTTTCCTCATGTGGTGTTTCTTTGTTGGCCCTAAACCGACGATGATGTGAAAGGGAATAACTGCTGATAGCACTGCTAACTCATTTTGAAAGAAACATAGCTTTTAAGAGAGACTCTTTGACATGCTTCAGCAGTCGTTCAGCAATGGACATCATGTGCACCTCTCTGCGCTGGAATTACTGTACATAGCAATTATATGACAACACCAAGATGTTATTTAAATTAACAGAATACTACAGTCGAACTAATTAATATTTGTACATAAACAATGAATCAAAGGGGGCGTCGGTGGCTTAGTGGTAGAGCAGGCGCCCCGTGTACAAGGCTGTTGCCGCAGCGGAATCAAAGCATTATGTGTAATGTGAAAGGAGTCACACGTAGTGACGAGCCTACAGAGGATTTTTTCACCCAATACTGCAGTTGGCCTGAGCTCTACAGGGCATTATAGCATCTTTTAGCGCATTGTTTTTGTTTTTGGGCCCACAGATTTTTCTTCTTTTCAAGAAAGCTTTGATAAACAAATTGTTCACTACTATTTCCCTCAGGAGTTGGTGGAGACCAAAAGAGAGCTAAAAGGGGGTGACTATTGGACTTGCATTTGTCAGACAGACAGAAATGAGACCCCAAAGGAATGTTAATGATGTTCACTACATGCCAGATGTGTAAATAGGCAATTATTTGCTAATTCTCACCATAACAACTGAACGGTGACAGTATATCAATAGTTAGGTTTCAATCCAAATGTAAGGCAAATTTCAACTAAATTTTCAGAAAAGTGCCTAAAAAAAAAAAAAGATTTTAGATCTGCTACTGTTATGTGAATATTGGGAGATGGTTCATTGAGATAAGCAGTGGGTTGCGTTAATTCTACAGTCAGGTGCCACTGCAGAACAGGGTGCAATGACATGACATAATCAAAAGAGCACCAGTCACAACTTAAACAAAGCAAAACGATGGATGTATAATGACAGAAAGCACACCAGACAATGGAGTTAGAGTTTTGAGCAAATAATATTACAGCTATGTGCTGTTGGAAGAGTTCTGGTAACAGCCCTGTGTGCATATGAGAGTGTTAAAAGCCACCCAGCAACAACAAAGAGAGCTTGCAGTGGCCTGTGTAGTGAAGGTAGTGACCTTTAGGTCATCATTTATTTCCAGTGCACTCAGTCGCATTTTCCTTTTATCAATACACAAACTTTTCCACCATCCCCAAGCATACATTACAATATAGATTTTTTTTCAAACTTAAGTGAGAAGGTAATTCTTCTTTTCATTCAGAGTGTTGGTACCAAAAAGCCAAAGCTTATCTGATCTCTTTGCATTTTATTGATGGTCTTGTCTGTTCTGTTTTGACTTTTTTACTCCTGCTGTCTTTGATTTTTATATTAATGTCAGTGTTTTTGTTTCTTTTGGTATATTTTTTCTTTCTTAGGTTTTCTTTTTGCTACTTTTTATATGCACTTATATTTGTACTTACTTACAACATACCAGTGTTTCTTAAATGTATATGTTTCTTCCTGGGGTTGTTTCATACCCTTGTTTAACCCATACCTTATTACTGAGGACCAATATATGCCATTAGTAACAATACGAGCGGGTTGATAATGGGGGTCCTTGATCAATAGTCAATAGTTCTCTAAGAAAAGGCACATATGTATGTGGATAACTACTTGGAATCAATTTCTTTGAATGGATTAATGTAAAGATGAATGGATAAATGGAGGGATGAATGAATGAATGGGTCGATGGATGGTGGGATGGAAGGAAGGACTGTGCCATATACATGACTGTTAGCAGTGTTTTGAGTGTCTTCTCCTCCAGCAGCTAGCCACCTGCTCTGGCTGAGAGCAACATATGTGACTCTATCATCAGACCTCTGACAAAACGCTAGGATAGAAGAACCTCCACTGAGAACAAATATGGAGTGGATGGATGGATGGTTGGTAGAACAGAAAGCGTGGATTAAGGATGGATAAATGTGGATCAGAGCAGAACTGACCTGCTTTATCTATTTGGACAAAACACACAGGACAAGTTTTTGCCTATTTCTGTGTGAGAACATTCAGCTTATAGTAGATTATGAGAATCAGCACATGGAAATGGTGCACAAAGAGCTACTGGGTATTTAGGAGGCTTTAGACTAGTGTCATGTTATGTATTGACCGTAGTGCTTTGCCAGCTGGCATTGTGCCCACTGATGCCCTGCTGAATCGCTGTAAATGCCAACAAAACCCTGTAAAGCCTTGCCAGGTCACTACAAGCTTTCTGGCCATTCAGATTAGCCATTTTCCGGTGCCTGTAATAATATAATGGTCAGTGTCTATGGTCTATGGCCGTGGCTTTGCCCTCCTCAGTCCTATGGAGCTGTGTGCCAAGCAGAGTTGATCCATGCTGCCACCCCAACTGTGGGCAGGACAGGTGGTTAGGAAGTGTGAGAATGATGCTGAGCCAACTGGTCCTCAGCTCCGTGAAACTCAGAGGGAAAAATGAGGAGGGGGAGTGTAGTTAACGGAATCTGCCAACTAGCCAACTGGTGGCAAGTTTTCATCACAGTAATTATCAGACAGGCCAGATGAGAAATAATACATGTCTTAATCTCCATCTTAGAGCAGTACTGGGCAAGGCTTCTCTATGAAACTACACCAGACTTTCTAGTCTAATTTATAAGATGCAGTACAGAGTGTCACACGATCCATAATAATGAAGACACGGTAGTTTCACCTCATTAGTCCAAGCAAAATAGCAGCATTAGTTATGGTCACTGGAAGAAATTCTTCCAGCCTCAGAAAGTG